ACAAGCCGGAGGATGTGGTATAAGCGGCCGGGCCACGCTGGCCCCATCAGTGAAGTGGCTCTCCACCCCGGTGAGCCCATCGCTCCCTCAGCATCCAGTGCCAAGAGACTGAACATGGGGGAGGTCCAGTGAAGAAAGGAATGGAAGACTCCACGGCTGCCTGACCTCAGACTGCATCCGTGGCATCAAGTGGTGGCCAAGCCAGCATCCTCCCTTCAGATGCAGATCAAGAAACCAGGAGGAGGTGGCCGTAGCCCAACAACCACATGCGTCTCATTTCACCAGGATGGGTGATTAAAGCCAGCTTACAGAGGCCTCTAAAAACCGCCTGCCAGGTTTCAGGGACGGTTTGGTTTTTTCTTCTTTACTTTTTCTTTTTTCTTCAAAGGGACAGACGTTGGTTGGTTTGTAGCTTCCCGTTTTCTCATCCAGATTGAAGACAGGGAATGTAACTGAAATTTGCTTATTGGGGATTTATTTTAATAATTGGCTTGTATATTTTATTTCTGTGTTTCTCTGAGTCATTTCGTATTAAAAGCCAAATAGATGCCTTTTTACAAGAAAAACACACACACACACACACACACAAACGAAGAGAGGAGATGACATGGACGCCTGGGACCCCCTCCGGCCGAATGGAGAGTGGGTTTCGTGCGCCTCTGCAGAAGGATGCTGCTCACTGCACAGGACTCCTTTCCCGGCGTCAGTGCACCCTCTGCAGACTCCGCTCCAAGCCCGTTGTGGAGCACACAGCTAACTGGGGAGGAGGCGGATGAGCAGGTCGTGTGATGGGTTTAATAGTAAAGGTATTAACAACGTGCTAGGTGAGTGGAAAAGGACACCAAGGATTTTGTGGCAGGAAGGCGGCAACAGCTGAGCTTTGCCAATTGATAAAAGAGGGGTAGTGGATACAAGGAACTGTGTCACAGGGATTTAGATTGCCCTTGGCATGCTTGGGGAACACCGGGCATACACACCAGTGCTGCCCAGACAGAGTGGTGGGCAACAGGAGGGTTTGGAGCTGAGGCTAGAAAGTCAGGCTGCACGGGGCCTCGAATGCCACTCTAAGCATTGTGACTGGATGCTTCAGGCAACAAGGAGCCGGAGAATGACATGAGCAGATCTGTCTTGCAGTGACAAGAAGGACTGGGGGCCAGGCTCAGGCTTCTGTGGACACAACAGCCCAGCACAGAGCACGTGGAGTCACCAAGGCCAGCAGTTCCCACGACAGAGCCCCTGGGCCTTCTCCGGGTCTCTCAGGAACAGGCGCAGCTGCCCTCCTGTTTTTTCAGGTGCACGGTGCTTCCGCCCGCCCACCCCCCTTCGCTCCGCCTCCCTGCATCTCCCAGGCTTGCTCTCAAACAGCCTTTCATTCCAGAATCACAGAGAAGCCTCAGATGCAGGCACTCCCAGGGGATCCGACTTCCTCTAGTTCACCCTCATTCAACAGCTGGATCCAACACACATTTCCTGAGACTCTGCCGTGCACAGCCCTGGGAGGGAGACGCAGACGGAATGGACTGGATCCTGCCCAGCGGTTCAGTGATGCCTGGGGCGGTGGGAGTGGGCACCGCTGTCCTTCCTGCAAAAGGCTGGGGTGTGTGCACTCAGGGCTGTGGGTGTTTGGGGGACTGAGGAGGAAAGGACCACCCCTCTGGGTGGAATGGAAGTGGGTCAGACTCAGAAAGTCTCGAGGGTGGACCCAGAAGATCTGGTTTTCACGTCTCCCTTTCACAGCTGTGTGACCTCAAGCAAGTCACTCCACCTCTCTGAACCTCTGTGTTCATGTAGAAAGGGACAAACATACAGTCGTCCTCCCTTATCTGCGGGGATATGTTCCCCGGCCCCCAGTGGAGAGTGCCAAACCCTATCTATACTCTTTTTTCCTATACCTACATACCTGTGATAAAGTTTCACTTATAAAGTAAGCGCAGTAAGAGATTAACAACAACTAATAATAAAATGGAACAACTATAACAATATTCTGTCATAAAAGTTATGTGAATGTGGTCTCTCTCAAAATATCTTAGGCCTGTATTCACCCTGCTTGTGGTGATGTGAGATGGTACAGGCCTACGTAATTCGATAAGGGGAGGCAAATGATGAAAGGCATTGTGACATAGCATTAGGCTACTACTCATCTTTTGTTATTTTTATTTTTTATTTTTAATCCTCACCCAAGGATATTTTCCCATTGATTTTAGAGGGAGTGGAAGACAGAGGGAAAGACAGCGAGAGACATCGATGTGCGAGAAACACATCAACTGGTTGCCTCCTGCATGCGCCCTGACCAGGGCCCAGGCCAGGGAGGAGCCTGCAACTAAGGTACGTGCCCTGGACCAAAATCAAACCCGGGACCCTTTGGTCCTTGGTGGATGCTCTATCCACTGAGCCAGATTTGTGGGAAGCTGATATAGGGTTAAGCCTCGGACTGACCTGTGGGCAAAGACAAAAACAATTCCCAGCTTAGAGAGCACAGTCCTCTTAGCATAATTAGGCTTGACCTTGTATAAAGCTCCCTAGATCTTACTCGGGAAGCTAATGGGCTGAGGGAAGTGCAACAAGAACAAAAACAAGTGAAACTTACAACAGTGTAACTTACTGTGTAACTATAGAAACCACTACCTTGTTTACCGCTCACTATAAAATAAAGGCTCAGCTTGCCTTGGGATTCTCTCTCTGTGGCCTCAGCCAGGCACAGGGAAGATCCACGGAGACTAAGGAGAGCTAGAGAGTTCTGAACGCTGTCTCCGTGTAAAACATCCTTCGCCGACTCCGTCCACACCTTTGGGAACCCCTGGACCCCCGGGGCTGGACCCCAGCACAGATTGGCTACGGCTACTCATCTGTTTTTAGTTTTTAATTAAATGTATTTGGGTGACATTGGCTAACAGGATCATAGGTTTCAGGCTTTGATTTCTATGTTACAAGATCTGTGCACGGCACTGTGTGCCCACCACCCACGTCGAGTCATCGTCCATCACAATATATTAACCTCCCCCCCCCCATTCATCTCCTGATGAGACGGCTGCTAGGTGACTAAGGGGCGGGAGTGTACGCAGTGTGGATACGCTGGACAAAGGGATGATTTATGGCTGCTACTCAGAACGGCGTGCAACTTAAAACGTATGGTTTGTTTATTTCTGGAATTTTCCATTTAATATTTTTGGACTACGGTTGACTCTGGGTAACAGAAACCATGAAGAGCAAAACCACGGATAAGGGGGGACTATCGTACGTTCGCTTCCAATGTTGGGAGGAAGACCCAATAAGACACTGTAAGGCTCAGGGCCTGGGGACGGGGTTATAATCAGATGGGAAGCAGCCTGCCTCTGGGTATTCGCACTCTCCCGTCGCGTGTGGGCTGGGCCTTGTGACTTGCTTCCAACCAGTGGACTACGGCAAGGAGCGATCGGATGGCGCTTCTAAGATGAGGTGACAAAAGGCCTGGCTCCCATCTTACTCGCCCGCCCCTGCTGTCTGCCTTGTCTGCTCTGATGGGAGCCAGCTGCCGGGCTGGGAGCTGGCCTCGGGCAGGTCCGCGTGGCAGGAACTGAGCGGGGAGCTGGGTTCTGCCAAGACCATCCTGAAAGCGCTCGGAAGTGTATCTCTCCCCCAACAACGGTTGAGATGACCGTCGCCCTGGCCTGTGGGAGACCCTGAGCCAGAGGACCCAGCTAAGCTGCGCTTTGCTTCGTGATCCACAGAAACGCTGAGATAACGTGTTTGTTGCTTTAAGCCAGGAAGTGTCAGTGTGACTTGTTATGCAGCAGTAGCTAACAAATACAACCAGGGTGATACTGAGACCTCTAAGCACCCAGCTCAGCACCAGCGTTGATCAGTTAGAGCAGATGCGGTCAGCAGCAATGGAGCAGGGTCCTGCAGGTCCCCGCTGAGCCGCCAGCTAGAGCACGGGTTCAGGAAGGGGGTCTGGGGAGGGGCAGGGGAAGTGGTGGGGACCCATCTTATGGGAATACTCACACAGGGGCGTAAAAGTACCTACTTGCAAGAATATTCACTGCAGCATTGTTTTTTATTTTATTTTTTTGTTAATCCTCAGCCAAGGATATTTTCCCATTGATTTTTAAGAGTGGAAGGGAGAGGGAGACAGTGAGAGAGAGAGAGAGAGAGAGAGAGAGAGAGAGAGAGAGAGAGAGAGAGAGAGAGAGATACATCGATGTGAGAGAAACACATCGATTGGTTGCCTTCAGCCTGCAACCGAGGTACATGCCCTTGACTAGAATTGAGCCTGAGACCCTTCAGTCCACAGGCCAACGCTCTATCCACTGAGCCAAACTAGGGCCACTGCAGCATTATTTGTTGCAGCAAAAGATTAGAAACAACTGAAAAGTTTGCACACAGGGAACTGGTTAAGTTAAGGACGTCCATGCCGTGGGTATCATGCAGCCAGTGGACAGGATGAGAAATGTGCTGACGTGGAACGAGGGGCAGGATGTACTTTGTTCAGGAGAACATGGCATCATAGACCACCATTTGTGTTAAATGTATGTACATACACAGATCTGAGGGCTTGTAGCTCTAGAAATAACCTGGTAGCCCTGGTTGCCTCAGAAAGGGAAACTGGGGTGGGGGTAAGGGATGGGAGAGAACCCCGATTTTTCTGTCCCCTGAGCCCCCTGTGATGTTCCTCCCATCACCTGGGTGGGTGGGGAGGCAATGATGGCTGTGTTCTGGGGAGACTCGTAAACCCTAACTTGGTGTCTGGAGCTTCTGTAAATGGGGGGGTGCTGAGTGGCAGGGCCCCGGCTCATCTGCCTCCAATAACCAGAGCAGTGCCTCCTGCTGAGCTTTTATTGGGAAAATGGTTTCTCTGCTTTAATGAAGAAGCCTTGGGACCTCGCGACGCCCCCTTTCTTCCCTCAGTTCCCACTCAACTCTCTACTCATCCACCTGCTCCCCGCCACCCCCAGCCCCAGCCTGGGTCCGTGTGAGCTGAGTCCAACCCAGTGGAGGTCTCTGCTGGCTCCCTGGGGACTCACCTGGAACGTCCGGGGACGTATTGAGCGTCATGAAGGCGTCCGATAGGCCGGCTTTGACGGGGTGCTGGGAGGAGCTGATTTCCAGGACAGACATGGGGATCTGCAGCAGGGAGAAGAGGCTCCATCTATCCCCAAACCCTCTCGGGCCAGCCTAGCTTCCCCTCGGAGCCCCAGCCCCACCTGCCTGCTTGGCACCGCCTCCTGGAGGGTGTGGAGACCTCTCACACCCAAGGCCTCCCCCATTCAAATGCCAAGTCTTCCCCACACCACCCCCAGCACATTTCCTTGCTCTACACTCCATCTTCGTGAATGGCATCTCCACGCAGGCCTGGGAGTCACCCCTGCCCTTCCCTTTTCTTCATTTCCCCCCCTCTTCCATCTAATACATCTCTAAATCCTGTTAATTAACCAGCTAACTGGCTCTCAAATCTGTCTAGTTCTCTCAACCGTCCCCCACCAGACTCCAAGTTGGCAACATCTCTTTCCTAACTCATCTCCCAGCATTCCCTCTGAGCCCCCAACAATCTGTTCTCCGCTCAGAAGCCAAAGTGACCTTTGTGGAGGGCAAATCGGGGGTGCCCTTGCCCTGTCTTGCCCCTCACTCTCTCCCCTCCGGCCGTGCTGCCTTCTCTCAGTGCTGTGTACCAGCCAGGATCCATCCTGTCACAGGACCTTTGCACATGCTTTTCTTCCTCCCAGAACACACTTCACTCTCCTCTTCGCTTCCTTAACTCCTATGCCTCCTGCAGATTTTAACTCTTTTCCTTAGGAGCCTCCCCCGGCTCCCACTGAGAGAAAGAGCCCATGACAGGCTCCCATGGCACCAGGCACCTCTGCTTAGGACCACGTGTTACCGTGACAATTTTACATCTGTCTCTGCAATTGCTGTCCATCGTCTCAACAAGACTGACCCTCTACGAGGGCAGGGGTCACAACCAACTTACGAACTGCGGATCCCCAGCATCACGCCCTCTGCCAGGCACAGTTCAGATTCCCTACAAGGGCTTGCTGAACGGGGAAACAGCTCCCCGGGACCCAGGCCTCTCTCACTCACCTCTTTGTAGCCAAACACAATGCGGCCGTCACGGTGCAGAGCCGCCTGGAAGGTGAAGCTGCCCCTGTCCTCCCGGCCTTGGAGGTAGACATGGTCCCACTGAACAACAAAGACGGTCCCTGTGGAGAGCAGCACAGACCTGGCTGTCGGGGAGGTGGTGCAGGGGGAGGGCGCTGCAGGAACCGTGGCCCGCGTGGATTGTCACGGGCCGGGCCCCGTAGGGACGATGGGGGCAGTTTGCAAATCTGACTGAAGGCAGGAGCTGGGCAACCCACCAACATCAGCCTGGCTCCCACGCTGGGGAGGAACCAGAACACCCTATTTCAGCCCCAGATACCAGGCCTGAGCGTCTCTCGCCCCAGGCACGCCCCTGCCTGCCTATCCCGACCCTTGAGATAAAAAGGAGGAGCAATAGAAGGAATGCCAGTTCTGGGATGGGAGGGTGGGTGTTTGGGGGACAACGTGGCGAGATTAAGAAAGAATAAAGGTCCCTAGTATTTGTTTCACCTCTACGAAGAGCCAAGCATGTTCATCTCGTTATCTCCTCAGATCCTGCTAGGAGCCGGCATCCTGTCGCCAGCGTACAGGCGAGGAAACAGTACAGAAAGGTGGGGTGGCTGCCTTGCTGTGTGACTGTGCCAAGTCCCTGGCCCTCTCTGGGCCTTGCACGTATCTAACGGGGCTGGGCCAGGGGAGCCTGGTGCGAGGGGACTTAGACTCTGCCGTCTGGCCTCACCATTGTCAAAGTAAGCCACTGTGGAGTTGTCGGAGTAGCCGGGGTTGAAGTTGGCCATGAGCGGGGCCACGTACTGAGTCGCCGTGAGCATCCGATGGGTCACGTCACCAGTGAAGATGAAGCCTGGAGGGGAGAAGCGCAGAGGAACCACCGGCCATGGCCCAGAGGGGTCGCTCCTATGCTCGTCCCCCAAGGGCAGACGGAGCAGTGCAGGCAGGCAAGGCTTGAACCTCTGTCCCCTCGGCCCAACGGGTGGGCTCAGGGTCCGGTGTGTCTGAAGCAAAAGGGTCCCAGACCAGAGAAGGTCCTCCCTGCCCCTCAGGAGGCACAAATCCCCCCTTTCCCTTTCCCTGGGAACACGCACAGGAATCAAAGATGGGCTCCTGCTCAGAGCCGTCTCCTTTCCCCTCCCAATCACAGACTCAGAAGCACAGGGACCACGGGGAATGCCCACACCTGCTTGAGCTGGCCCAGAGGGACACACACACACACACACACACACACACACACGGACAAGTCCGCGTCCGCTGATGAGACCGAGGTATTCGGTCTCCCTCCTAGAGTGGGCTCCCGAGACAGCCAAAGGTGGGTCCCCCTCCATTCCATCTCCAACGACCCTCCCCAGGTAGGGCCCCCAAGTTCCGGCTGAGAGCTCCAAATCCTCCCCCAGCCCTACTGGCACAGCCTTACCTCCGGTTGCTATGGTGATCTGCCGCAGAGGATGCCCGTAGAAAGGGAAATCGAAGGACAAGACCACTCTCTGCGGGGGATGGGAGAGAGTCAGCAGGGGCCAGGCTACAGGCCAGGGGGCTGGGCATCTACACTACTCCATGCTTGTCTGGACAGGGCGGGGGGCAGGCTGCCAGACCACAGGTGGGCACCCCAACTCAGGCCAAACCACCCAGAAACCCCCTGAAGGCACCTCCCAGATCACAGACCCTAGGCCAGTGATGGCGAACCTATGACACGCGTGTCAGAGTTGACACGCGAACTCATTTTTTTGGTTGATTTTTCTCTGTTAAATGGCATTTAAATATATAAAATAAATATCAAAAAATATAAGTCTTTGTTTTACTATGGTTGCAAAGATCAAAAAATTTCTATATGTGACACGGCACCAGAGTTAAGTTAGGGTTTTTCAAAATGCTGACACGCCGAGCTCAAAAGGTTCGCCATCACTGCCCTAGGCCATGCCCACTGACCAGGCGGTGTGGGTTGTCCCCAGCCTCCCGGCCCAGGGCAGCGCTGCCAGGAACTGGGCACTCACCGAAGCCTGCCGGTGGGTGTTGGAGAGGATTCTGTGGACCTTCACGTGGCTCCGGTTGGCCTTGGCCACGTCCACCCACAGCTCCCGGCTGCGAGGCTCGCTGGGGCCGTACAGACGAGACACATAGTAGCTGTGGTTGTCCTCCTGTCACCACCCAAGACAGAGCCCACCGGAGGCATGAGGGGTCAGGCCTGCCAGGAACCACCTCTGTGCCCCCCCGGCCCAGACCACTGGGTATAAGAAATCCTGGCCCTCCCAGGAAGCGGGACCGGTGGCCCAGGTGGCTGGCGTAGGCCTGGTAGCCCCTGGGCCCCCAAAAGCTTAGTACTTGGCCTCTAGCTGTGCCCATGCAGCGCCGGCCCCAGCCAGACCCACACCTGCTGTCCTCAGGCTCCGCCTGCCATTCCCAGAGAGGCCAGGAGGCTTCTCCTGCAGCCGAGTCCCCGTAAAGCAGAGCTCGGCTTGAGGCACCAAAGAGAAACAGAGCAGCCCCAAACAGAGCCCTCACCTTCAGGGAGCTCCCAGACTGAGGGGGAGAGCTCCCCTGCTCTGGGAAGTAGCATATATATAGTTGATTTTAGAGAGGAAGGGAGATGGAGAGAGAGATAGAAACATCAATGATGAGAGAATCATTGATCAGCTGCCTCCTGCACGCCCCACACGGGGGATCGAGCCTGCAACCTGGGCATGTGCCCTGACCGAGAATCGAACCATGACCTCCTGGTTCCTAGGTCGATGCTCAACCACTGAGCCACGCCAGCCGGGCTGGGGAGTAGCCTTTTTAAGGGAGAAGAAAACACTGCATCTTAGAAGCTGCCAGTCTAAAGATGGAGGCAGGCCCTTGATCTTGGGGAGTTGCTAGACTGAGGGAGGAGGCGGGACTTACGCAAACAGAACACACAGACACAGACCCGCACGCCGAGGGATGACACAGGGCCCACACTGCAGTCACTGCAGGGCTGAGAAAGGGGGAGAAGCAGGAAGAACCTCTAACCTCCACTCTGTGCCCAGTGCGGACAGAATAAAGAACGAGCCAGGACACAGCCGCCGGGCGTGACTCCCGCAAGGCCTGTCCTGCACAGGAGTGTTCAGCGCCAGGATCGCAGAGGCCGGGAAACGATGGGCAGAGAGGGGGCGATGTCACAGCATTTTAGCAGGCGGGGGTGGGGGGCGGGCAGCCTTAGGAGAAACGGAGGCAGAGCGGGCAGGTTCACTTGGCAGCTGCCGCGGAGATGGGGCTGCTGACCCGTGAGGAGCCCCGGGCGTCGTGGGTCATCAATCAGGCTGCCCAGCGGCAGCGGCTGCAGACACAGCAGACAGACCACGTTCACTCTGCCAGCTGCCAGCTGCCCAGCCAGCCCTTGCCCTGGGCCCAGCATGAGCAGGGACGGGATGCCTGCTCTCCCCACCCCCCAGCAGGGAGTATCTGCTCTTCTGACAAGTGACACTGTGGGAATCTGGGTCGGGCAGAGCTGGGGAAGTTGAGCAGAAGACACGGGTAGACGGGGGTGGGGGGTGGGGGTGGGAGGTAGATTTCACACTACCATTGCCTGGTTCCACGTCCATCAAATAAGTTTAAAACCACATCGCTCTGCTCACAAGCCACTGGGCTCCCACTGCCCTCGTGACAGAACCCAAACCTCAGCCTGGCATGCAAGGCCGCATCAGTAGCCAGCTCTGCATTCTCCCTGGCTTCCCTTCTCTCTCCTTCTCTCCTTCCCCTGGGCATCCTTGTGCCCCCACCCACCAGACCAGGTCCTCTGCAGGCTCGGGCCACCAGTGGTCACTCAGGCCTTTGCACATGCTGATCCTCCTGCCTGAAATGACCTTCCTTGCCTTCTCCCCCTGATCGATTCCTGTTCCTTTAATGCTCAGCTTAAACTTCACCTTTTTAAAATGTTGTTATTGATTTTGAGAGAGGAAGGGGATAGAGAGATAGAAACATCAGTGAGAAGCATCATCTATCAGCTGCCTTCTGCACGCCCCCTACTGGGATCGAGCCCCAAACCTGGGCATGTGCCATGACTGGGAATTGAACCAGCAACCTCTTGTTTTTGTTTTAAATATATTTTTATAGATTTCAGTGAGGAAGGGAAAGAGAGATAGAAACATCAATGGTGACAGAGAATCATTGATCGGCTGCCTCCTGCATGCCCCTCACTGGGGATCAAGCCCGCAACCTGGGCATGTGCTCTGACCAGGAGTTGAACCATGACCTGGTTCATAGGTCGATGCTCAACCACTGAGCCATGCCAGCTGGGCCCTTCTGCCCTTTTATAAGAGAAGAAGGGACCGGTGCCTGGCATTGGGTTGAAATGTTGGAAATAAACCGTCTCACTAATTCCTGGGCACCTTTTCATGACTGTGGGTGAGGGGGAAGTGGGTGGCCCAGCAGAGCAAAGCCGCGTCTAGGGGCCACTCCTCTGTGTGCTCTCCTCAGACACATTGTGTCTCACAAAGACGGATGAATGTTCCAGCCCCAACCCCGTACCTGCGGCTGCGACCTTATTTGGAAATAGTCTTAGCAGGCCCTAGTTCCAATGATGGATGTCCTCATAAGAGGAAGGAGAGGGAGACTTGTTTACAGAGCCACGGCGGCCACACAGGGAAGAAGGCCATGTGACAACAGAGACAGAAATCGGGGTGAGGCAGCTTAGGAGCCAAGGAACACCCAGGGGTGCCAGGAGCCACCAGAAGCTACGAGACGCGAGGAAGGACTCTTCCCTGAGCCCTGAGAGGGACCATGGCCTGGCTGGTGGCTCGATTCAGGCTCCTGGCCTCCAAGGCTGTGAGAATACATCGCTGCTGTTGTCAGCCACCCAGTCTGTGGTCATTTGGAAACAAAGGCATTTGCCCACGGGGTGTGGCTGCGGCTCAAGCGGGGTGACCCCGAGCCGTCTCCCCGTTCCGTGTCACTGCCCTGCGGCTGCCCAGCTGCTCTCAGATTGAAGGCCACACTCCTCACCACGACTCACTAGGCCTGGCGTGGCAGGCCCGGATGTTGCCTACCCACTCTCCATTCCCCCTCCACTTCTTCACGAGCAGAACATGGATTCTGGAGCAGCAGCAACGGAGCCAGCTAGAAACCTCATCCCCTGGATGGGTTACGTGCGACACATGTGACATGGGACAGGGGCTGGCCAATGAGACAAACGGAAGGTTCTAGTGGCGCCTTTTGAAAGGGGTCAAATTCGACTGCTTGGCCCTCTTGCCTTTGCCCTTCTTATCCCTGCCTGGAATGGAGGTGTGATGGATGGAGCTCTGGCAGCCATCCTGTGAGCATGAGGACAAGAGCCACAACCTAAGGATGGCGGCGGGAAGAGCTGGTTGGAACCTGGGCCCCTGATGAGGGATGCTCGTTAGGTCCTTGGATTCAGCCTTCAGTTACACACACACACACCCTCCCTTCCCCTGCTCTCTGCACTCCAGCCCGGCTCGGCTTCTCTCGGTTTCTGAACTCGCCCAGTGCTTGTCTGTCTCAGGACCCTGGCACTTCCTGTGCCTCTTCCATTCAGAAGCCGCCTCCCCTTCCCGTGCCTCGGGCCTCAGCTTCGCGGTCCTTGCCTCCCTGAAACCCCGGTTACACTCTCGTCACCCCCTGGGCTTCTCCCGCTCCACGGGCCGCACACTCCTGGTGACTTATTTGGCTTTTAGACTTATCTCCACACCTGCCTTTCCGACAAGTTGCCCACAGGTGAGGTCAGCCTTTATCTCTGGAGTTGAAGCACGGAGTACGTGCTGAGTTGGAGGATTTGTTAATGAGTGACCATTCCGAGTTTCATAGTATAGTGCGTCCAAGGCCTGCCCACCCGGTCTGATTGCTGCCGCCACGTGTTCTGGTGCCTGGACGGCAAATTACTCTATCAACTCAATGCAAAAAATCAGCGGAGAGACAGCTGGTATCTCAAAAAACCCGTTAGTCGGTACAGCTGCCCACGGGGAACCCGAGCAAGCCTGTGCTTGACCTGCCCACCCGGTCGAAGGGGCCCGTTTCCATCCCCTGCTTCCCGGGACGCCCCCGGGAGAGCGTGCACTGAACCGCACGCGGTGGAAATGAGGCCCGGACAGAAGCCACGCTCTGCCGCTGTGAAGCCCAAACATGCTGACATGTGTCTCGCCTAAGAGGCAAGCAGTGGGGTGACTGGGGACGCGGCTCACCAGCCCGTTGCTCCGACTCCTCTATTTCCCACGAAGGAAAATGGCCCACCCCCCAGCTGGTCCTGCTCCGCTGAGGAGCCGGGCTGGTGCTGCCAGGGATCCTCGGACAGAATCACCTCACTCTTGGAGTTCCCAAGGACACACAGTGGCGTCTTCACTGACAAAAGGGCTTTGTCTACGACTCGAGGAGAGTCGGAAACTAAAGAAGCTGCTGCCTCTACCTCCTAAACCAGCGGTTCTCAACCTGTGGGTCGCCTAAGACCATTGGAAAACATATAATTACATATTGTTTTTGTGATTCATCACTATGCTTTAATTATGTTCAATTTGTAACAATGAAATTGGGGGTCACCACAACATGAGGAGCTGTATTAAAGGGTCGCGGCATTAGGAAGGTTGAGAACCACTGTCCTAAACAGTTTCTCTCCTGTGAGCCAGCAGGTCCCTGCACAGACATACCACGCGCAGGCCGGGTGGCTGAGGCCCAGGCTCTGCTTCAGGCCTCGGAAGTGCCAAGTGCAGCGGGTCTACCCGAGGAAGGGCTGCCTCCGGGCGCAGCAGCACGCCGAACCTGCCCGAGTCCCACACAGGCCCCAGCACCCCACCACTCCTGGCGGGTGACTGAGGGTCCCCAGGGCAGTGAGCCAGAAGCTGTCTCTATCTAGATTCTAGAGCCCTGGCCCGGGGATGCTCCATGGTGATGGGGGAGGCCAAACTGCGGCCTAGAGAGGAAGGGACAGCTTGGAGTGGGGGTCACTCCTGGGCAGAGCCAAGAACAAAGTCCGAAGGGTTGCGGGGGAGGGTGCTGGGGGAACTGGAGGAAAGAGAAAGGCCGCCAGCGTTGGCAGAGCTGTGACACTTGCATTTCAGATGCATCACCGCATGATAACCCTGGCTGGTGAGTACCAACATGAGTCCCGTTTCCTAAATGGAGAAACTGAGGCCTACGTATCTATCTGCAACCAGGTCAGTCTCAAACACGGTGCCTTTCCCTCTGTTTACTGCTTCTCAGGCCTTTAAGTCACTGCCCCACGAGAAGAAGACTTAGGCCACCTGGCTGTCATGGGTTAAAATGTGTCCCATCAGAGGGACCAGCACGGGTCCTTTAAGGAGCACAGAGCTCAGGGGCCGTGGCGCATTCTCCTCCTCACCCCTAGCACCTGCCTGGCACCGAGCATATTGTAGGAGTCAGGAGTCTGCCTGCCACGTGAGTTCAATCACTCAGATCCCACAGCTGGTGGTGCCGCAGGCTGCTCGGAGAATGTGCGGCACGGCTCCAGCAAGGAGAGCTTCCCCCCACCCCCGATGTCAGGCGGCACCAAAACCTCTTGTGAAGGACCCGCTGCCTCCTCTGGGAACCCAAGTCCATAGAAAGCATTCCCATTGCTGGGACAACCTGCACACAGGAAGGCGCCTCCCGATTCCTCAAGCTTGTGGAGGGAGGGGGCGGCAGGGGGGTGGGGTGGGGGTGGGGAGAGGCCACACGCTGACCTGACAAGCTCAGGGAAGGCCTGCATGGCAGCCTTGCAAACTTAAAGACCTAAAGTAACCACAAAGGATGGGCTGAAATTAAAACTTTAACTAAAAGCAGTTATGGTGGGTAGTCATGTCCTAGGCCGGTATTTTCACTGATGAGATCCATTTTTACCTTAACTGAGCCTATTGTCTTTTTGCATCTAGGACAGTGGTTCTCAACCTTCTGGCCCTTTCAATACAGTTCCTCATGTTGTGACCCAACCATAAAATTATTTTCGTTGCTACTTCATAACTGTAATGTTGCTACTGTTATGAATCGTAATGTAAATATCTGATATGCAGGATGGGCTTAGGCAACCCCTGTGAAAGGGTCGTTCGACCGCCAAAGGGGTCGCGACCCACAGGTTGAGAACCGCTGATCTAGGATAACATATCCTTGAAATGTCTGGGTCACTTGTAACTTCCCTTTTTCCGGACCCCTTGGGGCATAACCTAGTGTTGCCTGGGCGCCAGGACAGACAACACAAATTCCTTCATTGTTGCTGTTATCTTGTTAGTTGTTGACTATTAACTACCCTGCACCCCCTAAGTATGTGTCTTTCATTTGACTTCTTATCCAATCCCAGGGGTTTGCCCACTCTGCTTTCTGCCTCCTCCCTAATCCATCACCAATGGATTTCACATAACCCACCTACGTCCCCTCCTTCGACTGCAGTGTATAAAAATAGATGGAAAACACGCCGTTCTCTGGAGCGTTATCCCAATCCCAACCGGTTGAGATACTGCTTCCCGGCAATTGTCGACAGGTGGCTCCAATAAGCTCACAAAAATTCTTTGCAGGTTTGAATGTTTTTACGTTAACAAGCGCTTCTCCGGGAAGTGAAGCTAACATGGGGGACGCTTCGGGGCCAGGACGAGCAGCCTGGCTCCCCTCAGCGTCAACGTGGGAGAAATGCCTTCGGGCAAGGTCCGCAGGAAAGAGAAGGAGGACCTTACAGGCATCTGACTTCAATATGTATGTGCAGGGTACATGAAAAGGAGTTGAGATTTGAGGCGGGGGCGGGGGGTGGGGGGGCGGGTTGGGGTGAGAAACTAGAGAGACAGAGACAGCAGCCCTGGTTTCTGACAGCTTTTCAGGTCCTTCATCTCCTCCCTGGAGCCCAGAGTAGGTCCCTGCACCCTCAATATAAACCTTCTCCCGAGACGGCTCAAGTGGCTCCTTGGAACCAAAAGGGCCCTGACCAGAACAGTCTTGCTCACGGGGTGATCAGAGGAAGGACTTCCAGGGACACCCCGATAGCCCTGCTCCAGCACAGACAGTGCGAGTCCGAATGGGAAGAGAATGAGAAGACAGAAGTGAGAAACCCCGCTTCTGAGAGAACTTTCCCCTGGCAACGCCGGCCCCCAAGGTTTTTTGATTCTACAAAGTCAATCACTGCTGGCTGCTTCTTCTTCTTCTTCTTTGTTTTTTTTTTCATGAGAGAAAGTCTATTTAGAAGCCACAGAGGTAGAAGTGAGCCATAGAAGAAGTGGGTTCAGGAAACAAACTACAGAGGCGAAGAAAGGGAGCTTCGGAGAGGAAATGAGGGTGACTTGCTTCGGCGGGAGAAGAGGGAAGTTGACGGTGAGGGCTGGCTCTTAGGAGTGAGAGCCCTGCTGGGTCCTCCGCCCGAGGGCTTTATAGGGTGGATCGCAATAGAATATTCATCAGCTCTCCAGGTGTGTCCTCTCTGGGTCGTGGTTTCCACTGATTGGTCAGCTCGGCTCCAGGACAGGGGGTCATTAGTCAATGCAGCTGGCCCTGAGGTCAGCCACAGCTTCTCTTGTCTGGTTTCGCAGCTTTTCTGGGCCTGGAGCTGAAACACAGCTGAAGCCTAGATGGATGTGATGAGGGCCAGGATCTCCTTGTCCTGGGGGCGTAATGCTTAAGGGAGTGTTCATGCAGGGGCCCACCCGGGAGTCACAGGAATCCATTCTTTGCCACCACCCCCCGTTCATCCTCTAAGGGGGTCTGCCACATGACTAGCAACATGCCAGGGGAGGAAAGGTCAGGGGAGGGTCCAAACCGAATGGCAAGCTGCCGGCTTCTTGAGTGACCACCGGACAAGAGTCACGTGGTCTGGAATTCTCCAAACCCGGTGGCACCTCCCCTCTACCACTGCAGGCCCCCGATCATGCTGCCACTGGCACCAGCAGTGTTTTGTGTGCGTATGTGTGTTTAAGTATACAGTGGGGCCTTGACTTACGAGTGTCCTGACAAAGGACTCTTTTGACACTACGGTGTCGGGTGAATTTCCCGCCAAAATATAAGATGGCGCGTTAAAATGCCTATATCTTTTGAAGTATGGGTTCGATTGAAATGAAATATTTGGTAATACGCAGTTACAATCGGCCCGAGTTTACACGTTTCCCGCACTCCACCGCAAATCTATATGAACCGAGTTTAAGACGGCTCCCGCGGAGTACGCGCAATTCACGCGAGCCGACTTAACTCGTTTCCCGCAACCCAAGTGTTGAGATACCAGCTGTCTCTTGGCCGATTTTTTTCATTGAGTTGACAGAGTAATTTGAGTTAACGAGCTCCTTAACGAGCTCCTTAACGAGCTCGGTCTCGGAACGAATTAAACTCATAAGTCAAGGCCCCACTGTATTTTTATTGATTTCAGAGAGGAGGAGAGAGGGAGAGAGAGAGAGAGAGAGAGAGAGAAGCATCAATGATGAGAGAGAATCATCGATCAGCTGCCTTCTGCACGCCCCACACTGGGGATCTAGCCCGCAACCCGGGCATGTGCCCTTGACTGGAATCAAACCCGGGACCCCTCAGTCCGCAGCTGAGGCCTAGACGCCCTATCCACTGAGCTGAACCAATGACCATCCTCTCCTTCTTCCTTTAGTAGCAGAACCTCCCGATTTTAGAGAAGCACATCGCCACCCAGTTAGACTTTTCCCAGTCCTCCTTACAGCTGGCGTGGCGAAAGGACTGGCCAATGGAAGGCGGGCAGAATGACTGCCCTCAATGGGAACAGGGGGGGGGCCCTCGCCTTGCTCGGTAACCGTTGGCCGGGATGCAGCTGTGATGGTGGGAGCCGCAGCAGCCATTTTGGACCACAAAGGGGAAGGCACTTATTGTAGAAGAAACCTGGGTCTCCAACAGCATGGAGACGCACTACATCGATCCCTGCCTACTTATGCTCTCACTGTGACCGGTGAGAGAATGAATTCATTTCTCTCAAGTCTAAGTGCCTCGGCAGTTGTTACAAGAACTGAGTTTGTCCCCTAATTAATACAAGGTCCTAAGGGCCTCCTCAGGCCAGTCAGCCCGAGGGCTTCTTCACTGTAGCCCATAGAGATGTCTCTTCAAAAGGATACAGAGGCCGTGCTTGGCAGTTCGCTTGCCTGAGGAAGTCACCCACCTCACAGCCATCCCGCATTTGACCTGCGTCTGTGGGGCAGCCCCCTCCCTCCAGTGGGCAGCCCTCCAGGCACTGCGGGCTGGAGGCTGGGGCTAGGATGGGCGGCCTGACCTTACAGAGGGCCAGGGAGCAAAGCCAGACCACTGGCAAGTCCACCAGAGGGAGCCAGGCGAGAAGCCCTGGTCCATAATCCCCCTTCGTCTGAGGAAGCAACATGATGATGTGATTTCAAACATTTGGGGCCATGAAATCCTTTCTCCCAATTCATCTTCCATGGACGCTCTGTACATAACTCCCATCAGAGGGCGGCCACTCTGGGAGAAGGAAAGCGAAGGGCCTGGAGCCCGGCTGAGCTACTTCCTTCTCTGCGCCCTCAATCCACAGCAGCCAGGAAGCACCTGTGGGAACCCTGAGGGTTCCGTGGAGTATAGTTTGAAAACCACCGCTCTGGGATCCAGTGCAGGGGCTGTGGCATCAGACAGACCCGAGTTCAAAACTGGGACCCACTGGAAAGTCGTCTGAGCCAAGCATGGCTCTCCCCTCCGAGTGTCTGCGCCGAGTCCGTGAAAGGCTTCCACCGAACATGTCAATGGTGAGCTCCCAGCCCAGCGCCTGGCCCTCAGCAGATGCTGGACGAGTGGGAGCTGTGATGCTGATGTTGTTGGATCTTTCTAGGAAAAGGATTTGATTGTGGCGGCTGCCTCCTCAGCGCCATCCCCAGCTCCATCCTAAATGTCTGCTGTTACAGTGTCCCTCTGTCTCAATTATTCATGCCGGAAGCCTGCCAACACTTCATTTCTGACAGCGGGGCAGCATTTACCTTGGCTGAGCTCAAGACGGTTCTGGACAGGGATTCCGGCTAAGCTGTCACCATCGGCCCACCACCTGCCTGCCAACTGGCAGGTGGAAATGCCAGGGCAGGCAACCAAGGGCATCCCGCAGGGCCTGCGGGAGCGGCCGGGCCAGCCAGGCGTGTCAGCTCCAGGCAGCTGGGCTCAACCCAGGAGGAGCTGATGGGATGAGTGGGGTAGGGGCACCCCAGCCCCTCCTCTACCATTCCATGAGGCCTTACCACACCAACAGCAATATTTTCTTTTTTCTTTTCTTTTAAATATATTCTTTATTGATTTCAGAGAGGAAGGAAGAAGGAGAGAGAGATGAAAATATCAATGATGAGAGAGAATCATTGATTGGCTGCCTCCTGCACACCCCCTACTGGGGATCAAGCCCGCAACCTAGGCATGTGCCCCTGGCCGGAATCAAACCCGGGACCCCTCAGTCCGCAGGCTGACGCTCTATCCACTGAGCCAAGCTGGCCAGGGCAGCAATATTTTCAAGAGCCCTGCTCCTCCAAGTACGCCCCGGGGACCAGCGGCATCTGCACCACCGGGGAGCTTGTCAGACATGCAGAATCCTGGGCCTAACCCCAAACTTGCTGGATCAAAACTGCATTTGAACTAGTTCCCCAAGAGATTCTTTTGCACAATAAAGTTTATAAAGCGCTGGTCTAGAAGCACCCTCTGTTTCGGCCAATATGTCCCTCATCTTTGTCCACGAGGAGACAGTGGTTAAACGTTCAGACCCCGAAGACAGAAAGACCTAGGTTTTTGTCCTGGCTCTGCCACTCGCTAGCTGTGCAACCTGAGTAAGCTAAACATAGAATTACGAGATGACCCAGCAATTCCATCCGAGGTATATACCCCCAAATAGTTGAAAACAGGTACGCAAATACATGTACACATGTTCATAGCAGCTCTATCCACAACAGCCAACAAGTGGAAACAGCCCAAATATCTAGGAATAAGTGAATGAATAAGCAAAATATGGTATATCTGAACCATGGAATATTATTCGGGCATAAAAGTAGATGAGCCTCAAAAACATTATGCTAGGTGAAAGAAACCAGCCACAAAAGGTCCTATATCGTCTGATCTCATTTACATATGAAACTTCTAGATTAGGTAGATCCGTAGAAACAGAACACAGGTTGGTCGTTGCCAGGGGCTTGAAGGGAGGGGAGGTTGGGGAGCAATTGCTTTAAGGGTATAGTATTTCAATATTTCCTCTTAGGGTGATGAAAATGTTTGGAACTAGACAGAGGTGTGTTAAATACACTTCACTTTAAAATGGCTAATTTTGCCCGACTGGCATGGCTCAGTGGTTGAGCATTGACCTATGAACCAGGAGGCCACAGTTTAATTCCCCATCAGGGCTTGTGCCTGGGTTGTGGGCTGGATCCCCATTGGGGGGGCGTGCAGGAGGCAGCCAATCAATGATTCTCTCTCATCATTGATGTTTCTATCTCTCTCACCCTCTCCCTTCCTCTCTGAAACCAATAAAAATATGTTTTAAAAATAAATGAAATAAAAACATTTTAGCCGAAACCGGCTTGGCTCAGTGGATAGAGCGTCGGCCTGCGGATTGAAAGGTCCCAGGTTCGATTCCGGTCAAGGGCATGTACCTGGGTTGCGGGCACCTCCCCAGTGGGGGGTGCGCAGGAGGCAGCTGATCGATGTTTCTCTCTCATCGATGTTTCTAACTATCTCTCTCCCTTCCTCTCTGTAAAAAAATCAATAAAATATATTTAAAAAAAAAACATTTTAAATGGTGTCTTTTATGTTCTGTGACCCATACTTCAACAAGAAAGATAGAGAAAGCCCTAACCGGTTTGGCTCAGTGGATAGAGTGTCAGCCTAAGGACTGACGGGTCCCAGGTTCGATTCCAGTCAAGGGCATGTACCTTGGTTGCAGGCACATCCCCAGTAGGGGGTGTGCAGGAGGCAGCTGATTGATGTTCGATGTTTCTAACTCTCTATCCCTCTCCCTTCCTATCAATAAAATATATATTTTTTTAAAAGATAGAAAAAAAGAAACAAGAAACCAACCTGCTCAAGGGAAAGAGGGTGAGCAAGAGGGACCCACATGGGGGATGGACCTCCTGGGGCTGAGCACCCGCAGAGGCGTCGCCGGGGGAGACACAGAGACTGCGATCCCATCAGGTGCCTCGAAGTCTGCTTTTAGGTCTCACCCCTGTGAGCACACTATTTGCCCCGCCGTTTGGGGAAGTTGACGCCGGCCGGGGCTGCAGGAGCTCGCCGCGTCAGGTGCACTAGCTGAGGGGCCAGGTGTCCCAAGGTCATGTCCTGGGGGTGCCGGGGCCAAGGCCGGGGCGCCGGGGCCAAGGCGGGGGCGAGAGACTGCCAGGCTTTCCACAGGGCTGGGGACTGGACGTCTGGCCTCCACCTCCACCTCCCGCCTCCCTGGACGCCCTTTCTCCTCACAGAATCTACCTTCTCTCTCCTCCAAATTCCACTCACAACCTTCCCCTCCGTCCACCCACCGCACACTCTACTCCCCGACCTCTTCCGCTCTGGGCCTCCTCACCTCCTCCCTCCCCGAGTGCACGGGTACGTGGGGTCCTGTAATGAGCGCCGCTTGCTCTTCCTGTGTCTGTGCTACGACTCTGTCCGTCTGTCCTGGGTCTGGGAAGGGGCCCTCCAGAGGCCTCCTTCCGGGAACTGCCTCTCGGGAGGTTGTGGACACCCGGCAGGAATCGCACTCACTGCTCAGCCGTCTTGGAGGATGTGGTGCCTCCCCCGTGCAGGGCCCTCAGCATTGCCATGGGGTGGATGAGCTGGGAGTTTTGTGTGGACAGAGAGGAGAGGAATTGTTCCAGGGCCTTAAACTGGTCTTGGTGGAGAATCGCTGGGAAACCTGAGTTCAGACAAGAGTCGATTCTCACTGGGGAGTGGTTTTGGCGTGGGCGTGAGAATGAAGCCCAAGGAGGTGGCTCTGCCCTGGGGCCTGGAGCTGTCAGTTCACCCTGGGGGTGCAGGCCGGATCCCTCCAGGCCTCAAAACAAGAGGGTCTGAACTGCAAGAAGCCCTGTGCTGAGGTGGCCAGGCAGGGGTGCTGGGCAGAGGGGCTGAGCAGAGGGGATGGGCAGGAGGGGTAAGCAGGGGGGCTGGGCAGAGGGGTAAGCAGGGGTGCTGGGCAGAAGGGGCTGAGCAGAGGGGATGGGCAGGAGGGGTAAGCAGGGGGGCTGGGCAGAAGGGACTGGGAAGAAGGGGTTGGGCCAGAGAGGTTGAGAAGGAAAGATGGCCAGAGGGGGGTGGGCCTGAGAAGGCCTGGGTTGGAGGTTGAGCAGAGGAGCTGATTGAGAGGACGGGGCCAGGGGGACCTGGCCAGGAGGAAGCCACAGGCCAGAAGGATGTACTGAGGGACAGCGAAGGAAGATGAGGGGACAG